GTACAGATTCTCATGGCTTTCTGAATAGAGTGTGAAATTAGACGAGAGGGAAATTTGCAGGTTACCATTCGGTGGTTGCTGCCAGGGAAGTAGTCGAGAATAGAGGCAGTGACTTTGGAAATATTTGATGTGAATATCAAATCAAATGTGCTTGACAACCTAGTTGGAGTCTTGGTATGTTGCACCCAATTACCGGCACGAAGGCAGGAAAGAAAATCAAACAACTTATTTGGGGCAAACATTGATGACCAGTCGATTTCCGGTGCGTTAAAATCACCTGCTATCAGCTTACCACCCGACGGNAGGCTAGCAAGATAGTTGAAAGCTTCAATAATTTTGGGGAAGGCGTTTGTGTCGTGCCTAGGGGGGCGATAGATACAACCGATGTGGAGATTTTGTAACTTAAGATGGATAGAGAGCCAAAGGGAATCTTCCACTTAGAGAGGACAGAATCTTGATCCCTGGAGGAGCTTACGCTCTGTACACCAACAGTGTTAACCAAAGGCTGCATCGTAAGAAACCAAAACCGACATTTCTACATATAAGCTTTTTAACGATCATCAATCTCTGAGTTGGATGATGATAGGGCACTAATAGACCACAGTTGGTACAGGAAATCACTCACTGATTACGTTGGTTAATTTCAGGCTCCCCGAAATAGAATGGCAATATGAGGACGAGGGAAAGGGTTAAGCAGCACATGCATTTATGGACTTATTCTACGCGGCAGCGCTCCAGCAGCATGTATGAGAACTAACTCTCCTCCCATTACGGCAGAGACCGTCGATCTTAGACAGGGTGCAGGCAATAAGCGCACCTTACCAGGAGTCTCTAAGGGTTTGGAGAGTACCCAGAAATTGAGCGACTGCCATAGTGGTGGCCATCCACAAAGGTGTGGATAGGAAGCACCCGGTAACTACAGACCAATAAGCTTGGCCAGCGTGATATGCAAGTGTCTAGAACCCAATGTTAGGAATGTTCTCTGTTGGCACCTTACTCAACAGAGGTTTATTAGCTCCGCCCAGCACGGCTTCCTCAAAAGAGGCCATGTTTGAGCAACCTCCAATGTTTCTCATACGAAGTTACTAGGGGGTTAAATGGAGGGGGCCAGAAAGTTGATATGTGCTGTCTGGATTTCAGGAAGGCCTTCGACTGGGTAAGCCACCGGCTTCTCCATATTAAGCTCTAGGGGTTTGGTCTTCCAGCAGCTCTACTTAGATAATAATAATAATAATAATATTAACGGTATGTTTCACGAAGCTTTTGAGGCATGTGGTGCGCATGATCAAATGTACAACAATGTAAAACATGAAGGTCCAAACAAAGATTAATTGTACAGAGAGGGTAAGAACGTAATTTTCAAACGCGTACAAAAGACATCGTAACCATGCATTGCGGNAAGAAAAACACAAGGCGGACAAGGTCATACAATGGAGAACTGAGGAGAGGGAGATCACATCAGTGTAAACGATTGTCTTATGAACAACATTGAGAAGACACACAACTGGAGTTGAAAATATCCGCTCGCGAGATGATGCGCGGAAACGAGTTCGGAGAATAGGAGAGAAGTAAACGTAAAAGCTTCAGAATTTCAGAGGCAGAGCTCCGGTTGAACCAAGAAAGTGCAACGGAATTCGGTAGCACGACAAATGGATCATAAATAAACTGTTTCGAGGATCGACACAGATGGACTGACTTTTTGAACAAGGAGTAAAGGGCTTTGGAGCTTCACCTTTAACGGATTGACTGGTTTATATTATTTATGTTATTTAGGCGTTGGTCGCTTTGATGTGGGACTGACTACGCGCTGGACACACAACCTTAAAACACCTTGTAGGTGAGACGGGGGATGCGTTCCTCTACCTGGTCCGGAATGCGGGTGCATGTAGTCAAAGCGGTTGATACAGCCGCGCCCAACAACCATTGCCCGTGCCAAATTTTTCATTGCTGGTGTAGACTCCAAGCCTTCGTCAGGCCAAAACCAACCGGATCTGGAATAGGAACACGAACATCGGCAGTCTGGGGTGCAGCCCAGCTGAGAAGAGATTGGGGAGAGAAATAGCAAAAAGCAAACGACGAATTCTAATCAAGGCGGGTGCAAACGTCATAATACGGTAAAAGGACGTCATCAAAATATGTCCAGCTCTACAGATCAAAAATGGAAGAGGGTTACGCGTATTGGCAGAACAAAAATTGATAAAGTGGACACGGCAACCTGGTAAGCATTTGCCACGGACGGGGCCAAACGGGTCAGAGGGGAAGCGGAGCGGATGGATAAGCGGTAAGGAAAATTGTGGACACTGCTAACTGCTTAGCATGTTCCACGGTGGGAAGCCAATCGAGTCCTGGTAAAACGCAATCGGATAAATATAAATGAATGAAACACGGGTTACAATGCTTCTGAAAGTATGTGCAATAGTAGATTTTGTTCCACAGATCCAGCTTCGGAGCTGGATCCGTGTGCTAATGTGAGTTTGGTTGAGGAAGTAGACCCTGCTACCTTATTAGCATGTGCTACGTATTTGAGCAAACTGAGTCAGACAATAACGAGATTAGATGTGTGCAAAGTAGTGAGAGATGGGTCAGAATACGTATAAAAGTATGTGTCAAAATAGGTTATGTTCCACAGAACCAGCTTCAAAGATTGGTCCGCGTACTGGTATGAGTTGGGTTGAGAAAGTGGACAGTGCAAGCTGCTTAGCATGTGCCACGGCGTTCAGCCGGTAGAGTCAGACGAAAACGAGATCAGATAGATATAAAGAATGATAAGATGGGTCACAATAGTTATAAAAGTATGTACCAAGTAGGTTATGCTCCACAGAACTAGCTCCGAAGATGGATCTGTGTACTGATATGAGATCGGTTTAGAAGTTGAATTTCCCCCCTGTTTAGCATGTGCCACTGGTGGAGCCAATTGAGGCGGATGAAAACGAAATCAGATATATATATGTTTTTTGCGTTTTCATTGCTCTTCTTCTCTTGCTAAGTTTCGGCTGGGGATCCAGTTACTTCTGTATCTATGTGGCCATTGAGAGTTTTTCTTGTGAAGCTGGGCAAAATGTTTAGATGGAAAGTGACGCCCTTGCGGGGAACGGGATATCATGGAAATTCTGTCATAAGCGTGGGACGTTGGAAATCAACGGACCTATCGGATACAGAAAACGTCGTGTGTTGGACCGTTTGAAATGTAATTTAAATTTACGCATTTGCCAGAGAATGAAATAAAAATAACTTTCATACCCGTCGCAGATCATTATGAAATAGAAATTTTAATCACTTACTATCAAAACCTGGATTCACTGTGGTCAACGAAAGGTCTCGATTTTATTGAGAGATCGTGTTCAACTCACTAAACAACCCTCATTTGTCGAAATGACTATGACATTGAAAGAGCCATCACAACATATTATCAATGTACCCCCCACATTGGATTTGCGGCCACCAGTATTCCTGACCGGATCGAATGTTATAATTGAATTGTTCAGCGACGGTGCCCTCCCCCAATGCTTATTGCTTTCAGTATTGAGTGCCCGCCCCCACCTACTGTCTTGGTTGAACTAGATCGAATTGGACAAGGCAAGCAGAATTTGCCGTACGAACGATTTCACCACCGTACGGGTTCCGGTCTCCTCCTACTTTGTCCGACCTGGCTCCGTACGTCGCTCGCAAAAATGCCGACCATCGTTTGCGTCTGGGTCATGTGTTTGTGGGCAAGGACAGCAAGACCGTGAGAGCTATTCTGTCAATTAGCCAAATTGCACATGATTGTCACGTCATGTGTCGTTTGCTGGAAAAGAGACGCACCGTCGAATGACAGTTTATTATCTCATTACAACCGCTTATTTACTCCCGCGCTCACGCGATGGCTATTTGAATGTGGGATCCGAGATCACATGACACGCAGATGGCTACACACCACCTGCCTTTTCACTCCGTCTTTCCCAACTGCTTCGTCCACGAAAGCTTCTTTCTCCAGAAGAAATCGAGGCTTTACGGAAAGGAGGTCTGACACCCAAGGATATTGAGTTCACGGACGTGATCAGTAAGGAAATAACACTTTCCCAAACCGGACTAGACAATACCCCACAAGAGCTCAATACTTCCGGGTCGAAAGAAACTAAAGAATTCGAACCAGTCGCTTCTTCTGGCACGCTTC